TCTATACAGCTTAAAGTGACATTTAAAGGCTTAACTAGGTTAATTAGGTTAACTAGACAGGTTAGGGTAATTAGGCAAATTATTGTATAACAATGGTTTGTTCTGTAGACTATCGAAAACAATAAAGCTTAAAGGGGCTCATAATATTGACCTTAAAATGGTGTTTAAAAAAATTAAAATCAGCTTTTATTTTAGCCGAAATAAAATAAATAAGACTTTCTCCAGCAGAAAAAATATTATCAGACATATTGTAAAAATTTCTTTGCTCTGTTAAACATCCTTTAGGATATATATATATATATATATATATATATATATATATATATATATACACAGTACACAACAAAATATGTAATTAAAAACATTTTAATAAAGTTAAACATGTTAAATAATATCTACATTTGCTCAATGGAATATTGTTGTTATTACATTCCTCAATACCTCTGAGGTGTGGCAGGAACATGTATATTTGCTTACAAATACAATCTTTTAGACTTTAAATCTTTTAGATTTAAATGTTGTAAAAATATCAGGTAAAAGACATTTTTCATATTTTGTGATTATGAAGTTTTCTGCATATTACAGTTATGAATTGCATTACGGGAGGCTCTGCCAATTTTTGATGTTGAAAAATTCATCTTTGCAGTTTAACAATGTCACTTTTATTGACATTTTAGTCGGTTGTAACAGAATACAGTTTAAGAAATAATAGAATTAAGTCTGTAAAATAAAAGTACGGGAAATATGTTACCAAGCTTTTGTGCCATAATTTTTAACAGTGGTTCCCAAAGAGGGGGTTGCTTGGTGATTTCCAAAAGTCAAATAAATTTTATTAAACTATTAGAATTACCATATTTTATCCATATCCATAACCAAAGATATGATAGTTGTTTATAGTTACATAAAGCTACAGCATGCAAATAAAAAGCCATCGGCCCTTTACTTTTTTGTGTGTTTATGTTAGATTAACAACAAAGAAATAGCATCAGCAGCAGCAGATTGATTTTATAGCACCACGTTAAATCTTCTGACACCTTTATAGCAATCAAATACATTAAAAATAAATACAGGCAAATGAACATTAAGGATGATGAGTGTCAGTCTGCAATATTAAACCAAAAATAGACTTGTGCTGAAAACACAGGTTATTATTTAATTAATCAAATTAATAAACGACTAAATTATAGCCTATTTTTTGTGTTGTGAATATGCTCGTGTTTACATAGGCCTGTTGTGTGTGCAACATTTGTATGTTTATAACCACCTCCGAGGAATGTGGGGGTCACGAGTCACTGGAACTGTTATTTTGGGGGTCGAGGGCTGAAAAGTTTTGGAAGCCCTGATTTAGGCCTTCAGCACCGACTCAGGCAATATATCACTTCAAAGTATTAAAAATGTCAATAAAAGAAAAATTTCTACATCAAAAGTTGATAGAGGAACTTTAAATCTGTATAATACGATACAAACACATGGAGAAAATAAATCATAAATGACATAACAGAAAGAAACTGTTAATTTACAGATATTTCTATAGTGTATTAACACAAAAATGTAACAATTAGCAGTGTACAAATTGTTCACACTATAAAATACAAACAAACACGCAAACATTTTATGAGAGGATTACCACCACAAATGAAGAATGACCCATAAACCAACACACAAGAAACCTCTAAAATTGCTACAATTACTAGATACAATTCGGTGATTTGTAATGTTTAATGGTTTCTTCTACAGTACATTTTCCTAAGGGCAGTTTCGACTCGACCTGCATCATTTTACCTCAGTGCAGCAGAAAACAAGACGGTCATGGTACAAATACTCTGAAATTCCTCATGAAAACCCATGTGTGCCACAACACAAGGGAAGATTCATATCTTGTTTTACTATCAAATAATAGCGATTTCCAGGCCTCTTTTGTGGTGAAGAAACACACACCGCGGGTCTGAATGAGCGTTAACGCGCGTGTCGTGTACCGTGACAGCTTTGCATTGTTTGTCGTGACAGCATCAGTTTATATAGGCATCGAGTTCATTTTAGCCCCCATTATAGCCAAATATGCTTCCTCGCACGCAATGTACACACGACATCAACGGAAATGTTTTTCTCCTAACAATTCCGCAAATGGGCGGTTCATTCCGCTGTGGCGACCCCTTATAAATAAGGGACTAGCCGAAGGAAAACGAATGAATTCCTATGAAGGCAGTGTGATTTTATCAGAAATGTTTTATCGCTTATTTGTCCTCTCTCTCTCTCTCTCTCACACACACACACACACAAATATTAATATTTACTCACCCTCATATGTGATCGCAAGCCTGCTACTGTGCTGTTGAACACTATTCAGCTATTACAAGTTGGAAACTGGTAACCATTGACTTCTATAGAAGAACAAATACAGTTTGACATACTGTCCATAATTAGCCATCACAAATAGAAAATATAACTTGTATCCGCAAACAAATTCCTCACAAAAACGGTTATATTGGCCCACAAGAAGTTCTAAACACGATATTTTTAACCACGCCCCTTCTTACCATTAGTTTGCTATTAAAGAATGGGTTGTTGCCAGATGTGGTTATGGAAGTTAACGAAAATTCATCATTCATTCATTTTCTTGCTGGCTTAGTCCCTTTATTAATCCGTGGTCGCCACAGCGGAATGAACCGCCAACTTATCCAGCAAGTTTTTACGCAGCGGATGCCCTTCCAGCCGCAACCCATCTCTGGGAAACATCCACACACTCATTCACACACACACTCATACACAATGGACAATTTAGCCTACCCAATTCACCTGTGCCACATGTCTTTGGACTGTGGGGGAAACCGGAGCACCCGGAGGAAACCCACGCAAAGGCAGGGACCCAGGGAGAACATACAAACTCCACACAGAAACACCAACTGAACCGAGATGGAACCAGCGACCTTCTTGCTGTGAGGCGACAGCACTACCTACTGCACCACTGCCTCGCCGTTAACGAAAATGATTTATACTATTTATTAAACGTTCCATGTATTTTATCAATGACTACCCCAGCCCTAAACCCAACCGTCACAGTACTGTAAAAATATTGCTACATTAATGTGCAAATCGCACTTCCGGCCGGTCGTGTATCCTGCAGACTTTGCCAAAAGAATGCTGAGCAAAGAAAAGCTTCCGGTATGCGTGATGTGTAGGTCAGCTTAAAAATCAAACAGAATTCTGTATTCTAATACATTCTAATAAATGCTAAATGCTACCCAGGTAGCAAAGAATTCTGGCCCAGATTTGGAATAAAGCTGGCACAGCAGGCATTGAGCGAGCACTGGCATAAAGCATTAGGGCCAAACATGACAAAGGTTTGGCAGAGGTGACAGTGTCTTTAAGGCAGCGCACAAGATTTGGCCCAGATGTTAAAAAATGTTATGTGGGCTACATAAGTTTGGCCTATTTTGACCCACATTTAAAATACATTAAAATAATTATCGAGTAACAAAAAAAAAATAATAATAAAAATCTACCAATCAGGTCGCTTTCGGGAAAAAAGCAAGCCTACAGCACGGCTAAAGCACAAAGCTTTGTGGATTTATCGATTTAATTGCAGTCTGGCCCAGTTATGGGTTAACTTGGCGGAGACTTGGCCCAGATATGGTCCATGTTTGACCTTTGTCTGGAAGTCTGACTTGGTCCAGTACATTGATTCACTGCAGCATGTGGGCCATGCTAAAGCTGATTGTGTGGGCTAGATCTAGGCCAGAGAAATTTTGTGGGCATCTATGAGGAGGGTTGGGGTAAAGGGACAGAATAGCCTACAGTTTTTACACTATATAAAAAAATCATAATGTCTATGTGAAGTCCCCATAAAGATGTGTGTGTGCACCAAATTAAATGATTTCTGTTGCAAAGAAGTTTGACAGTTGTTGACAGCATCAGTCATTTTTAGCATACCTTATTTGGTTATATTCCCCAACATCGACTATCCCTATCTTTGATCACATGCAATTTTTTCTTGTAGTTTTAAAATAAAAAGGCTTTAAATTAAGGGGTTACTTCCACCTTTCCTTATATACAGGGTGGGCCATTTATATGGATACACCTGAATAAAATGGGAATGGTTGATGATATTAACGTCCTGTTTATGGCACATTAGTATATGTAAGGGGGCTTGTAAATAACTCATGAAAAAATAAAGTTACGTTGAAACCAAGCACACCATTGGTTTTCTTGTGAAATTCCCAAGACGTTTATTAAGGTGTATCCATATATATGGCCCACCCTGCACATGATTTCAGCAGGATCATATAATTTACCCGGAAACATCACATTCTACTTTGTGATTGGATGGTAGGTGGACCTAAATAATGAAAGAACTTACATTATCGAGTGAGCAATCCCTTTACTGTAGCTTACTGAACCAATGTTTACAAGTGCGTTTTGTTACACCACAAAAAAAGGAATCATTTTCTAATAGGCAATTTTAGCCGCGTTTTGCCTTTACATACCACCAGAGGGAGCTATTGTATGCTATCAAAGTGCGTCAAAAATGGAGAAATGAATGACATTTAAGTCTGTCTTATGTAAATTAAGGTAAAATTGTTTTATCAATAGAAGAAGCCTACAAACAAATATGTTTTATTTTGATGAAAACTTTAAAAACCCCTTTTGACCCACATATATACTGATTTACACTCTTAAAAAGTGCAGGGTTATATCTGTAAATACATTTTTTTGGGTTAATTGTGCAGGGTGAAAACCCAACTGAAAGTTGTAGGGCAGTTAAGGGGTTCTCTCACATTTGAACATCTGAGTTGGGTTATTTTGGCTGGTTTAGGCTGTTCATTGACGTCGGACAGTCACTGAGATCGCAACAAGCAGGGTTACAAGGTAAACTAATCAATGTCGTCAATTTTAAAAATGAATTTTTCATTGATCCTTGAAAAAATATTCTGTTTTGAAGAAACTGAATTTTTCTTTTTCCTAAGCTGTAAATTGCACCGCCAGAAGTCAAGCAAACAGACAAGAACTCTGAAATATTGACCTTTTTTGTGTGATAAGTGAACAATATAAGAAAGTTTGCTTTTTCAAATTAATTGTAAATAATATAGAACTTGTGATTTTACATTTTTTGAGATATGTTGATCTCCAAAACATATTTATCATGAACAAGTTCAGATATGAACAGATATGAAACTACTGATCATACTGAATATTGATAGTTGTTAGTTTTATTGCAAGACTAAGTGTTGTGTTATAAGCAGACCAACATGGTGGAAACGCAACAAGTTGCCGAGACCAGTGATTCCTGACAAGGCAATAATGACACCCCAGACATGGGAATTTCTCCAGCATGGATGGATGCAAGTTTTTACATGTGAAGTTTGAGCAAGTTTTTTTCTTACTGTTTAATAAAGAATGTGTTTATTTACCCCCCAATTTTTTCTTCAATATTGTGAAATTAATGTATTAGTTTTCCATCACTTGTAATAACTCTGATTGAGAATTGCCAATATAAAAAGAGTTTAACTAAAAAATGGAACATGCAAGCTCCTACTGGGTATTTAGGTCATATTTAGGTCTTCCGAACCACCCAAATGCCCTGAAAGTGGTCAATATTTTCCCTGTAGTAGTACATCTAATGCACACAGTGGAATTTTTCATACACAATACATGTTTATAAATAGACTAATTCTATAACACTAGTAAGTCTTAGCAGCACTTCAATTGCAAACTCATGTGAGAAAGAGTGAGTTTTTAACTCCCCCAAATCTCTGACAGGACACTTCAGCCTGTGCTCATAAACATTTCATTAAATGCTCTTTCAGTTGGGCAGTCTCTTCTTGGGGCAGCAGATATTTCTGGATGATGTCCTGCACGGTCTCCTCAGTGGCCGACTCATAGTCTTGTCTGTTCTTGAAGGGCAGGTGTCCGGCGAGCTCACACAGGGCCACGTTAAACGCAGACTCTTCTTTGGCCCCGAAACAGGACAAGCGGGGCCAGACGATGACCCTCACACCATTTCTAGATGAAGAGGTGTCGGGCTCCATCTGAGGAGGACAACCTCTGGTGAAGAACAGGTTGTGTGCGATGTTGTGGTCCACCAAGACATCAGTCAAACTGCAGATTGCTTTGACCACCAAATCCAGGTTTGGACCTTGAGTGTAGAACAGAAATCCTGATGGAAAGTCCACAAGCTCATACAGGTTTAGGTTAGGCAGGACCAGCTTTGCTGGAGAGCTTTCAATCTTCAGTCTGTGGTTTAGATAGTAGCCGTGCAGATGAAGATGGTTAACTGAGGCAAAGCCACCCAGGCTGTTAAAACCAACCCTAAACCCCGGATCAGCGCTCAGAAGAACTGTTTCTATCCCCGTTTGGACTGCTAAATGCGTTAAAACCTGCGGGAAACACTTCTCCGGTTCAGGCACCAGCAAACAGTGGCCGAACTCTAACGGGCTGACGTTTATGATGACGCTGCACTTCCGTTCACTCTCCCTCTTTAACTCGAACAGCAGCTCTTTCGGGTTGATCTTATTGAAGTTAAACTGTTTTGGGTCAAAGTTCTGGCGGACGCTCAGGATCTCCTGGGGTTTTCGTCTTTCTGTGCCTCTCATGATGTTTAATTGTGCAATGTATCCACGTGATCCCGGGAGGATCCGCGTCTCCAGCTCGTCCAGCCGGTATCGGAACAACCCGGTGTTTCTCTTTTCCGTCCATCCCGACCGAAGCGCGATGTCAAATCTGGAGCGGCCGCGGTTTTGCTGACCGGAACAACATACCTTGCCTATAAAGTCATTGTCGGTGTAGGTGAAAATGCTACAGTCACCCATAGTGTTTTACACTATATACTGTTTTCACTTTGAATGACGCCAGCGTGTACAGGAATCACAAACTGCAACACGTGGATGAATCGGCACGTGTCTGATTGGCCAATGAGAGTCATATGACAGAGTGGAAGCTATGGGAAGCGAAAACATTCAATACGCGATTTGTAGTTTTTTATTCAGTTAGCGATACCAAAAATGATATTTCTGTTATTATTTAGTCACACATAATTTGTTCAAAACCTATTTTGGAGTTTGAACACAAAATATATTTAAAAAAAACTGCACCGTTTGACTTTCATAGTATTTATCCTACTATAGCAAAAATCAAAGGGTGTCAGCAACCAGCATTCTTCAAAATATCTTCTTCTGTGTTCCGCAGAAGAAAAAATCTCATAAAGAATTAAAACCACATGGGAGAATAAATAATGAGGTAATTTTCAATTATTGGGTGGACTCACCCTTTAATATATAGGTTGAAGACAAATCTAGGTTTTCTAGAATTAAAAGTAAATGTCTTAAAAGGCACTAAATTAAATGACTTCATTTTATTATCACTTTGTTTTGCCCATTTGTCAATTAAAACTTTTTTTTATTATTTAATAAATAATACTATTAATTAAAATCACTTATTAATTCATATGTATTAATAACTACAGTTTAGAATAAGTTTCACTTAATATTTCAAAAAATATTTTAAATACTATAATTATTATTATTATTATTATATAAACTATTTAAAGATAAAATAATTGTTAAATAATTTTTATGTACATAAAAATTACATTTGTAAATTTTATTGGTATCAAAATTAAAAACCTAAAGGGTTTCACCTAGGCCAGGGATGTCAGACTCAATTCCTGGAGGGCCGCAGCTCCGCACAGTTTAATTCCAACTCTAATTAAACACACCTGATCAAACTAATTGAGTCCTTCAGGCTTGTTTGAAACCTACAGTTAAGTGTGTTAGAGCAGGGTTGGAACTGTGCAGGGCTGCGGCTCTCTAGAAATCGACATCCTTGATCTAGGCCAGTGGTTCTCAAACTTTTTTCATCAAGTACCACCTTCAAAAAAAATAGTCTCTCCAAGTACCACCAAAATGAGCAGTATTGAAATACAGTAGCGTATTAGGCCCAGTAAAGCAGCTACAACTGCACAGTTAAAAAAACGTGGCAGATTACCTCAGAAATATAGGCTATATGTCATATATGGCATATTTTATACATCATTTTTGATAAATTTTGAAATATATGTAGCATGTACATGACATATTTTCTTCCTCCGCGTACCACTAGTGGGAAGCCCGCGTACCACTAGTGGTACACGTACCACAGTTTGAGAACCACTGATCTAGGCAATATGGTGGCGCAGTGGAAAGCACAAGCGCCTCACAGCAAGAAGATCGCTGGTTCAAGCCCAGGCTGGGTCAGTTGGCATTTCTGTGGAGTTTGCATGTTCTCCCTGTGTTCGTGTGGGTTTCCTACGGGTGCTCCAGTTTCCCTCACAGTTCAAACATATGCGGTACAGCTGAATTAAATAAACAGTGTCCGTGTGTGAATGAGTGTGTATGGATGTTTCCCAGGGCATCAGCTGTGTAAAACATACGCTGGATAAGTTGGCGGTTCATTCCACTGTAGCGACCCCTGTTGAATAAAGGGACTAAGCCGAAGGAAAATGAATGGTTTCACTTATTATGAATAATGAACTTATGAGTAGGTTCGCACAGAATCATGCACATTTCCTCAGATTTTTAACCCATCATTGAATCTATGTATTTAATTGTGTAAATTTATATTTATTCAGTTTTAGTTAAAAAAATTTTATTCAGAAATAATTTCACAAATATTATTGTTATATAATAGTAATATTAAAATGTTCATATGATTTATTTACAATACAGTTTGTACGGTAATATTTTCTGTCTTTTAGTAGATCTATTATATGAGAGACTTGCTTTGTTTACCAAATAAGAGGATTTAATTGGATTTGCATTGCAAACATTAAAAAAAAGTTAAAAATCTATTCTTTTTTTTCACATGATGATACTCCCAAAATCATTGCGCATAAATCTGCAGATTGTTTACAAAATTCTCAGCAGAAATAGCAAATCATGTTAGCAGATTCTGTCTGGTCCTACTTATGAGTCCCATATCATAAAAACGTCACCACAAACAATAATTAAACCCAATAAAACCACTGCATGTTAATAGAGCGCACAGATAAGAAACAAAATCCACACCTGAAACAAAAGTAGTGTTTATATAAAACCAGAATACATCTTTTTTTTACATTCAGCAATTAAGACTTGAGTATAAAGGGTGACGTGATATCAAACAAGTGTGCCAATGCATAAATAACATAAGATCAATACTTACACATTACAGTGGAATAATCATAGTCTAGGGGTGTCCAAACTCGGTCCTGGAGGGCCGGTGTCCTACATATTTTAGTTCCAACCCTAACTGAACACACCTAAACCAGCTAATCAAGCTCTTTCTAGGTATACTAGAAACTTCCAGGCAGGTGTGTTGAAGCAAGTTGGAGCTAAACTATGCAGGACACCGGCCCTCCAGGACTGAGTTTGGACATCAGACTATCTTGGAATGTGCTTGTAAAATAAATTGAGTGCATGTAATGGAATGGAAGTGATTAAACTCAATATTTGGTCTCTTTAGACAGTCTGAAATGTGTGCGACCATTGCGGCCTTCATCAAACACTGCAGCATTAAATGGAATTACCATTAACTCCGCTCTCGTTGCTCCGGATGAGTCCGTACTCAAGAGCCAGATCTAAACAGCGCTGTGCGGCTTTACGGACAGAGGCCTGCTTTGGATCGTCTGTTTTAGTCAGCACAGACAGGATCTCCAGCGCCTCGCTCTCCATCAGCTTCTCTGCTAAGCTTTTATCCGCCTGCATGATGTTCATCACGATGACCACTCCACGGTGCCGCAGGTCCTGACTTTCACTGAGCAAAAGAGCCTGCAAGATCTCCAGCCAGTGGCTCGTCTGTTGAATGAGAGGAGAAAAACTCGTTATCAGTTACGCTTGCTAATAACAAGCATCAAATGCGTCTCTTATGATCACTTGTGTTTGGATTTTCATAAATGCACTTAATTAAACATGAACATCACCTACACTCACCGGCCACTTTATTAGGTACACCCTATTAGTACCAGTTTCGATCCACTTGTGCCTTCAGAACTGCCTTAATCCTTCGTGGCATAGATTTAACAAGCTACTGGAAATATTCCTTAGAGAATTTAGTCACTATTGACATGATAGCATCACGCAGTTGGCTGCACATCTGCAAATCTACTGTTTACCACATACCAAAGGTGCTCTATCGGATTGAGTTCTGGTGACTGTGGAGGCCATTTGAGTACAGTGAACTCATTGTTAAGTTCAAGAACCCAGTCTGAGATGATTCGCACTTTACAACATTACGCGTTATCCTGCTGGAAGTAGCCATCAGAAGATGGGTACACTGTGGTCATAAAGGGATAGACATGGTCAGCAACACTACTCAGGTAGGCTGTGGCGTTGACACAATGCTAAGTTGGTACTAATGGGCCGAAAGTGTGCCAAGAAAATATCCCCCACACCATTACACCAACACCAGCCTAAACTGTTGATGCAAGATAGGATGGATCCATGCTTTCATATTGTTGATGCCCAATTCTGACCCTACCATCCGAATGTGGCAGCAGAAATCGAGACTCACCAGACCAGGCAACATTTCTCCAATCTTCTATTGTCTAATTTTGGTGAGCCTGTGCGAATTGTAGCCTCAATTTCCTGTTCTTAGCTGACAGGAGTGGCACCCGGTGTGGTCTTCTGCTACTGTAGCCCATCCACCTCAAGGTTGGATGTGTTGTGCATTTAGAGATGCTCTTCTGCATACCTCAGCTGTAGCGAGTGGTTAATTGAGTTACTATTCCATTAGCTCGAACCAGTCTGGCCATTCTCCTCTGACCTCTGGCATCAAAAAGGCATTTCCGCCCACAGAACTGCGGTGCACTGGATATTTTTTCTGTTTTGGACAATTCTCTGTACACCCTAAAGATGGTTGTGCGGGAAAATCCCAGTAGATCAGCAGTTTCTAAAATGCTCAGGCCGGCACGTCTCGCACAAAAAACCATGGCACATTCAAAGTCACTTAAATCACGGATTCTTAACTGGTGGGCCTCAGCGATCCTGCAGTTGGGCCGCGAGATAGCTTAAAAAAATGTACTTAAATATTATACTATATGATTTCATTATTAAATGTGTCATATTGAAATGATCAAAGTAATGGCATTTCCTGTTTACTCTGATTAAATAAGCTAATTCGAACTCACTGTTAAATGCAGATTGTGGTTTAAATTTCCAACCGCTGTGCGTCAACTAGGACTACGTTCTTGTATAAATCAAGCCGTCAGGCAAATGTAAAGGCAACTTAAAACTATTTGCACCTAAATTTGAAAATGAACTCGTCATGTCTTATTTTAATTATTTATTTTCTCTTTCATTTTATTATTGTACTTATTTTGTGAAATTGCCCTTGTATGTTAATTTTTATACAAATTACAATCAGGGCTGTACGATTGCGATCTTTAAAAAATCTGACATTGCGAAATGTTGTTTTTCTGCTATATATATATATATGTACACTGCGATATGAATACATATTTACCAGATGGCTTGAATAGCTCTATTTGAAGGGGAAAAATCATTCATTTAGATTGACTGGGTTGTTTTTGTAAAGGTGTGAATCATGTATACAAAAAACATTAAACATATTTTTAAGCAAGAATAATTACAACAGAGCAAAGGAAAAAAGTAAAATAAAGCAAAAAATGTAAAAACAATTCTTTATAGTTGCTTTGGAGAATCAAACTGTTTTTAGGTACAGAAATTAAATCAAATTAAGTGTAACATAACACTCTATAGTCTTCAGTAATTGTATTCTTCAGTTAAGTTACAAATCTTGTATGTTATTGTCTCTGAATACGCTCTTGAAATGCGTTTATAACACATGCAAATGATGAAGTTTCACTCTGGTATGCGTATACTTTATAATGACTTCTCAAATCTTCAAATCTCATGTATTATCAATTGTTGATCCACTGCAAACCCAACTCAACATTGCACATCCTGTGATGTGACTATTGCGGACACACACATTGTGATATCAATCCTGAAATGATATATTGTAAAGCCCTAAATACAATGTTTTTTAATAGAATTATTATTTCATCCACATTGGACAGAGCATGAGATTCCACTGTGGCAAGCAGGTCTTATCTGGCAGCATCAGCATGAAGATGAATCTACATCAGCATCACTTCTCGAGTATTCAGAAGTGATTATCAGCCAGTTGTGGTCTTGTACTCACCGTGTCAGGGATACGTGTGCAGAGCTCAGGCATCTCCCCGGTCAGCACAGCCAGTGTGCCGGACGCAGCCTTCCTCAGTCGCTCATCATCCTCACCACTGTAGAGAACCAGCAGCTTCAGACGGTCACTCTCAGCGGCCAGATAAAGCTTCTGCACCTGATGAGTGAAAGAAAACCATAAAAATCAATCTTTTCCTGAAGGAGTGGGGTGATATGTGCTCCACGTTTAATTTCCAGTCAAGCGCTTCTGATGAATTGTCATGCCATTATAAAACTGCAGTGTTTCAGATTTCTTTGAAAATCATTGATCCTCACTTTCTGATTGATATGCGATATAAAGTGGGTCTCAGACCGGACAAGAAGCACTGAATTAAATTAAATTGTTCTGCATCATGTCTTAAAAATAAGCAAGTTTATTTTACCCCAGTATTTTCAATGGAGTTTCTGCACTAGCCTGCTGATCCTGATGGCGCTAGTGTTTCAACAATCTTTTATCTAGCTTTACACTTTTACAGCTAAATGAATGCTCAAGTTTATTGAACTGATTATATTTTAATATAGATTACAACATCGATGCTGTAAAAGTAACCTTACGAAATTAAAAATAATGACATAACACTTTAAAGAGCCCATATTATACATGAAATAGGGTCATATTTTGGTTTTAAGGGTCTCCAACAACAGTCTGATATGCATGTAAGATCAAAAACACTTTTATTGTCTTATAATCTGCATTTATTTTGAACTAATTATCCCAGCGACTCCCATTTGAATCGTTCAGCGATTCATTTATTTCAAAACCCCTCCTTAGCGTAAAGCTAATCTGCACTGATTGGACTGATGACAGCCTGTTGTGATTGGTCGACAGTGTTCAGCATTAGACAGAGTACAATGCCCACCACGGCTAATCAACAATATTGAAGTAGTCAGAGTGCATAGTGTATGTGTGAGCATACCTGCCAACACTCCTGTTTTTCCCAGGAGTCTCCCGTATTTCAGACCCATTTCCCGCCACCCTCCCGTTTTGTTATTTATCCTGGAAAACTCCCATAATTTCAACCAGAAAAACGAGAGCTATAATGCTAAGGTATTTTTGCAAAAATAAACCTCAACCACTGACTCTTCACAGTTTCATCTTTGGGTAGAAAAAGTAACACTAACTTTCCCCTCACACTTCCAATAATATCCATATGAGCACAGTGTCTTCATGACTTGATTCAACCGGGATCAGCTAAGGTGCTTGTCTTCCTCTTTTTGTTTGCTACTGTTTGTGGGCGGGGCCAGAGGTTTAAATTTTCCCGGGTTTGCGAACGCAGCAATTGGGCAGGGCTCAAGTTTCGTATCAACATCACGCCGAAACGGCTAAAGACTCGTTATCAAGACGATTCATTTGAAACACTAGGAGTCGACTCTTTTATAAATGAATCAATAGTTTTAAACACTGTGCACTTTCATAGTTGAGCCTTAGCTGGATATTTCACTTCACTTATAGCTGTTACATACTACATGGAAGGTAATATTCAAAAACCCATAATAGGGGCTCTTTAACCAGAAGTGTATAGCCTATTATTAGCTTCGAATCTGCCCCATCTACAGATATTAGACATACCTCAGTGCTTAAGGCCAGATTGCACATACACTCTGTGGAAGCAGCGCGGACCATGTCGTGCTCTTCAAACATGTAGCCCTCGATTTTAGGCACAGCTTTCTCCTTGATGATCTTCTGCCTGTGGGAACATCGAAATATGATATTAATGGGTGTATTCTTCTGGTTTACACTAGTTCACCCACACATATTCATTGTGTTTTATTAGGTAGGGTTCATCCCTGTGCAGATAACCAAACAACTTCCCTGTGCAGAGGATTATAGGCATACAAAGTATCCATCAGTTGTACCCTTCAAAATCCCTAAATCCAAATAACCCTGTGAAGTGGCCTGTTTTAGGCACTTCGGTTTGGAGTGATACTTCAATATGACTGCCATGATTGTTTTCACTCCTTTAGAGGGTAAAATCCCATTGAGAACACAGTGTACTCATACTCAAT